TGTCATCTTATTTGTAGGTTATTTTCTGTTTCGCAGCGTTCCTTCGCTCATAGTTCGACAGTGTTGAACTATGAGCGAAGCTTTGCTCGCTACGGATTTTCGCACAAATCGACGGAGTGAGGGGTCTTCGCCAGCGAAGCTTCGCTCGTGAAGACCCCTCATGGCTTCTGCACACTGGACGCGGAAACGCTTGTCTCGCGGAAAAATGAAGGAATCGGAAACTCCCATGGAGGAACTGTTACCCCGGATCTACAATAGGGTTTTAAGCCTTAAACCATAAGAAATGGGCGAATCACAGTCGCTTATTCTTCTCGGATTCGACTGTAATTGGTCAGTTTCTTACGGCATAAGGCATAAAACACCTATTGTAGATCCGGACTTACACGGGTGGCACCCAGTTGGACACGGCTCAATTGGACACGAGCCACTCACAGTGCTTGAGACTACAAAGCTCCTAAATACCGGTCGCTATGATTGGTGATGTCCAATCGAGCCGTGGTCAATCGGGATCACCTCCTGTTACACGATGACAGTGATAGGTTGCACCTGAAGAGGGGTGGCATCCAGTTGGACACGGCTCAATTGGACACAAGCCACTCACAGCGCTTGAGACTACAAAGCTCCTAGGCACCTGGTCGCTGTGATTGGTGATGTCCAATCGAGCCGTGATCAATCGGGATCACCCCCTTGAAGAGTGCGCTGATGGTCCAATATTCTTAAAGTCACTAGATTGATAAAGTACCGCAAATTCTTTCAGAAATGATGCTTAAAAATGGCCAAAGTACACATAGTACACGATTCGAACTACTACGGCCGGGTTGCATTTACTCCGACCGAATAATATCTTAAAAATGCTCAAGCTCATGCAGTAATTACACATGTAACGTATACTTTTGTGTTCCTGAACAGTTCCGAACTGTACTTACATGTATCCTTCGTGCACTTTTATGCACAAAACTTCTACAACAAATAAATCCATATTAAACTAAAGAACACACAAATTAAGCATTCCTACATATTTTTTGGTCATAAATAAATTAATTACAATTCAACAACATTGATTTACGGGGGTGATCCCAATTGATCACAACTCGATTGGACACCACGAATCACAGCGACCGGTGCTCAGGAGTTTTGTAGTCTCAAGCGCTGTTAGTGGCTCGTGTCCAATTGAGCCGTGTCCAACTGGGTGCCACCCGATTTACGTACTCGACGGCTTCATTTTCGCAAAAATACGTGTATACTAGAGTCCTAGATTTATCAGAGAGGCGCAACCGGCTTAAGTCAGTATGACAAAGGTGCTGAGGAGAGTGCTAAACATGGTCGACATGCTATGAAACTGCCTTTAAACTATGTCAAATACTTCGTGCAAAAAAAAATATAGATCCGAATATAGTGAAACCGGCACAAGAAAAGGAAAAAACTGCCCATGTAAATAATGTAAATAATGTAAATAATGTACAAAAATAGATATAAGATATGCAATAAATATTACGCATAGCTATTATATACTTTGGAGGATATATGTATTCATTACTAAATAAATATAAATAGAATATATCAATTTGTTTATTGATTTTATGCATTTATTAATTCCATGATATATTATATATTTCTAAAAAATCATACGTTTATACAATTGATTGAGTGTTAAAACTTTATAAGTTTTCAGCAATATTCCGATACAAATGTGGCACTATTAACACACGGTACTTATCGCCAATGATTTCACGTTTCATATGTAATTTGATTATATACGATTTCATTATTAATTGTTTCGCAACAATATTGAGGGCTTATTACAGTTACATTTATTTCAGCAAACGAATCTTATAAAACAATTAATTTTTAGAA